AAATATATTGTATTTATTTATTTATTTTTATTTTATTAAGTTTCTATAAGTAGTCTCTTATTCTCACCAGACTGGATTTATTTGATCAAAAACAGTAAAAACTGTAATAATGTGAAATGTTTTCTTCATTTAAAATAACTGTTCAATTTTAATATATTTTAAAATATAATTTGTTTTTCTGATGTAAAGATAACAAAAAAAATGTATTTTTGTAATCAAAAAATATTGTATTTTTATATTATATAATATATTATTACATATAATCATATAAAATATGAATTAACTAAACCATTTTAATTTGTCTATTTATTTTGTTTATTTTAATTGTTTTAAATGAGTAAATTGATAGCTAATTATTTTAAGTGGCTCTCTTAGTGATACTTCCACTGTAGTATCATCTCTGTGATGCTTACAGCAATTTATGTTGCCTTGGCAACTCAGTTTCACATCCCAGTTTTAGCAGACTTCCGATGCTGCCTTACATTTTCACCAAACAAGATGCTGAGAGCCTTGATAAAGCAGTATAATTCTTTTAAAGCGCTTTAATTTGCTACACACTGGTTGGATGTAAAGGGGATGAGTTTGACGTTATAATACACTTGCTCTCCTTCCTCTCTTCTTAACAGTAAGCCGGTCCTTCTCCACCGCTGCCATCCAACCCTCTCCAACCTTCAGTGAGGGAGGAATTGAAACTCCTGCACTCACGTTGACCGATCCGGATTGTGCCACCTCTCTCTCTCTCCCACCTTTAAGCCTGTTCCTCCTCTTCAGCCCTCTCCCACGAAGATTTCTTTCATCTCATGGAGGGAGCGGGCGGCACCGTAAATCCGCTTTTCTGATGTGTCCTCTGCTTGTGCTGCTTTTGCTCATCGAAAGCACAGTATTCCTCAGAGTGTCGTCACGGTGACACTGCATCCACGCCTCTGGCAGCTCTCAATCCCACCACGGTCGCAGCATCGTGCGTCATGTGACATGAGAGATGTGAGACGGACTCCTGAGATACTCGTAAGATTACTCTTCAAACGAATCATAAACCAGCAAAACTTCACAGTTAAGACTTTGCTTAGATTCACCACAGTTTAATCTGCCATTTTGAAAATTCCTAGCCTTTCATAAGAGTACATGTTTATAAAATGTAAAAAGTTGGGGAAATTAATGAATTCCTGTCCACCCGTGGAGCTGAGACAAGACCGAATTACTGATCATTTACACCCCTTTTTGTAAAATCTAAATTCTGGTTTTGTACCTGAGGTGTCCTCACATTTCCACCTACTTGAGAACTGCAATTAAAAAAATGTATATGTTTATTATTTAAAAATAAAAGTAAGATAATGTAAAAATAAAATAAATTTCATATTTTTTATTATTAAAAAATACATTTTAAAAAAGTATACAGGTTTTTTAGAATTTATACGTATTTATGCATGTAAAAAATGAAATAAACAAAAAGATACAGGTTTTTAGAATTTATACGCATTTATACGTATTTATGGAAAAAATGCATGACACATTTATGCATGGTTTTTTTTTTAGAATTGAAAAGAATGCATGTTTTTTGTCAAATAATTTTTAACATTTATATGATTTTTAACAGTTTTTATGTTAATGTTTCAAATAAAATAAAAAATGTCATAAATAAAAATATAAAAATAATGTTAATGTTAATTAATAAATATATGCATAAAATAATTTATAAATAAAGTTAAAATGAAAATATTATATTAATAAAAATATTAAAATATATAGATGTAAAAAATCTTTATAAATAAAAATTATTTATATGTATTTTATTTATAAAATTATTTTTAACTTTCATTTTCTGAATAAATAATTTTACAATAAAAATTGTACTTGGCTTTCTATGTCTATAAAAACACATGCATGTTTTATACACATTTTTTTAGAATTTTAAAGGATACATTTTATTAAATTAATTTGTAACATTTTATGATTTTTAACATTTTTAATGTTAATGTTTCAGATAAAATAATTTTTCAATAAACAAATGTACTGTGCTTTCTACTGTATGTCTATAAAAATACTTCTTAGATGTATATGAAATCACTTTGGTGAATTTAAATTGATGTGACCACCAAAATAAGATTTCTCATATTTGACCCAAATATACAGTATAAAACATTTTATGTTTGAAGTGCTTTGCAGTGCAGCAAAAATGATGGCTGTGAACTGAATGTGCATCACATTGAATTTCAGTGTGCTTTTAGTGTAGACAGGCAGTGTAGATTGTTGCAACAGTAGCAATTTAGTTTTGTTTCGTGTCATTCTATCCATTTCCTACATCAGGCACCTTGTGGGGCGGCAGTAGTGGCACGCTATTTGCAGAGTGTGTTAGCGAACTGAAACATACCACAGCTACAGTGACACATGAAGAGTGTGTCTGTGTTGTCTGTATGTGTGGTAACTAGCAGGTGGGTGCTTCATTCATCAGTCTTTCCTCTCCTTTCCTCTCTTCCTGTCTGTGCCATCTGTCGCCGTGGCCAGACTGGGCACAACATGGCCTCTTCCTGTCTGACGCCATCCTATGACGCAGCCTAGCTGCAGTGGACACACACTGCGAATTCAGACAGAACATAAAACTCCTCAAAGAATCTCATGCAGAAACAAAACACACTGAATTTTCTCTGCTGATTGTGAGTCTGATCGTTGTAGTCCCGGGCTTTCATTCATTCTGCAGCATTGAAGCGGATAGTGTGTGGTGATTAACGCCCGAGGGTTCGAACTGCTCACTCTGCCTTGGCTCTCTTGCCGTCTGCTTGTGTAAAAGCATTTCGCTTCAGTCCACGTCCTGCACTGCAGTAGCTCCGAATTGAGGACGACACAATGAGCAATTGCGCATCTGACAGCTCGCCGTGTCTCTGAAGGAGGTTTAATCGTCTTCTGCTGAGGACAGAGCGAATGTGAGAGTGTTTAGAGAGTCTCGGAGGAGTCTTGAATCATGGAAACTGCCTCGTTTGAGGACGGGGAATGGTGAGATTACATGTTGGTTTGGGTGTGGTTCTGATGCTTTAGATCCAAGTCTGGCCTACACAGCATTTTTGGACATCATAGGTGCATTTGGACGTTTTAGTTTGAGTGTGATAGGCAAAATGATGTCTGGAGAGCTGGAAATCGACACGTTTGTGTTTTATTTGATCAAATGTTATGCTAAAGATGCTGAAGCGCTGTGAGAGAGGAAATGAGAGAAAGAGGTGAGCCGCGATCCGATATGAAATGCACGAGAGTGTATGTTGAGGATGTTGGGTGGGGCTGATGGATGGAGAAGAAAATGGGTTGAAGAATCTGTAGTGTGTGTGAGAGAGAGAGAGAGAGATTGCTTGACATCAGCAGAGTCCAGACCCCACCCAACCCCAGCAGTGCAAACACACACACACACACACACACACACACAAACATGGTAAATGTACTGGGCTCTGTGAATAGTAAATACTGGAAGCATACTAGAGTGAGACTCGTAGTGTTTTTCACAACGCTCTGATCTCACAGCTCTGATGAGTCACATGTGAGTGATTAAATGCACTCCAGCCTCCTCCTGCTGCGTCAAATGAAATTTGGAGTTTAATTGGTAGTTAATGAAAGACCCATGGTGGCGTTTTTAATGACAGCACAAACAGACACACTGCATTGTAATGGGCTTCTTCACTGTCATCTGACATACAGAAGTTGGCATTTATTCATTTTGATTTATTCAGTTTGATTTTTCAATGAGATTTCTTGAACGAAATTAATGCTTTTATTAATATTTTATACTTTTATTACTTTTTTCAGCAAGGACACATTAAATCGATCAAAAAGGACAGTAAAGATTTATGTTACAAAAGATTTCTATTTCAAATAAATGTTCTTCCTTTGAACTTTCTATTCATCAAAGAATGAATCATCAAAAAAGTGCATCACAGTTCACAAAAATAGCAAGTATTTCTTGATCGCCAATCATCATATTAGAATGATTTCTAAAGGATCATGTGACACTGAAAACTGAAGAAATGGCTGCTAAAAGATTCAGATTTACCATCACAGGAATAAAATCATTTTAACATGCATCAAAATAGAAAATAGTCATTGTAAACTGTAATTATTTTGTTTTATTTCTTTCTTTATTTTATTTGATATTTCTTTATTTCTTATTTTATTGTATTTCTTATTTTTTCATTTTATTTCATTTCATTTCAGCCCTGAATCAAACAATACGGTGCACTAAACTCAGGTCTGCATCAAAAAGAATTTCTGAACAACTGAAAAAGCAATCAGACTCAAATCGTGAATCCCTTGAATCATTTTGCGGACTTCAGTTGGTTTGTTCAGTCATCAATCTGTCATTTTACAACCTTCACCGATGAGTCCTGATTCCTGTCGCTCATCTGCAGCATCAATTTCCAGTTGATCCTTTGATTGAGTTTGCTTCCTTCCCTGAGCACAGCAGCAAGAGGAAAATGTGAATTAGCATCCCCAGGCATCTGAATTTCTAGTTAGACTCATCATTTCTAAGTCCGTTTCACACTTGGCATGTTTATTTCAAATCAGTTCTGAAGTCTGATTTAAACACTGCTTTGTTGTTCTGAATTAGCAGCAAGGTCTTTTATTGTCACATTCTTCTACTGTCATGGCGGAGGTAGTTTGAAACAAATCTTGCTAAGCAAACTAGTACACAATCAAAATTGCAAAGGAGTATCAGTGTTTGTGTGATGTCCACTCACACAAACATGACAGCTACAGGTGTCTGACAACATGTTCAATCTTTCGTTCTTGCTCTCCTTCTATCTGTTGGCTCTGTTTCTAAATCCGGAGGTGTCGTCTTTTCAGGAACACTGATAGCAGAGTGTTAATAAGCTGAACTGACTAACTGCGTGTGTTTGTGACTCCGATATGCAAATGAGCCTTCTTTGTGCTCGTATGATTGGTCTCTTGAGCGTATCTTGCTAACGTCAAGTATTAGAATGTTGGCTTCATTCTGGAATCCATCTCTTTCTGTCTCTCTGCAGGCAGTGACTCTGTGGAGGGCGAGTGTGTGTTCGAGGGGGATTACGCTGTCCCTCCTCTCCCGGTGACCGAGGGCATGCAGCACATTCGGATCATGGAGGGTGTGTCGCGCTCTCTCCCCTCCTCTCCTCTGCTGTCCCACCAGGCCCTCAACATGCGTCTACAGCCGCTCAAGAGACTGCCAGGTAACACTGCTTGTGTTTGTAGGTGTGTGCAGTGCTATATGTGCTGCAGTTGTGCTTGTGTGTGTACTGTATGTGTGTGTGTGTGTGTGTCAGCGAGAACCACCTCCTGTTTCCCATCGCAAACACTCCAGCTGAATGCCAGAACTCCCACTGAGAGCACAAATGCCTTCACCTTACACACGGGAGAGTGTGAACGTGTGCGTGTGCGTGTGCGTGTGCGCGTTTGTTAGTGCGTGCGTGTGTTTGAGAGGTAACGAAGTAGCAGTGTGTTATTTTTAGAGATGTCAATTTCCATGTTGATTAGTGTTCAAAATTGAAATTTACATCGAAAGTGGTCTATATATCTGCATTTCTTATAAAAAAAATACAGTAAAAGTCGTAATATTTTGAAATATTATTACAATTTAAAATAACTGTTTTCCATTTGACTAAACTTCAAAGTGTAATTTATTTCTGTGATGCAAAGCTGAATTTTCAGCATTCAGCATTTTCAGCTTTTGTTGTCTTTAACACTGCACTTCTGTTAGCAGCCACAAGGGTGCACTAATTATATTCTTTTCATCCTTCAGTTTTCCTCCTTGCTTTTTTGTCTCTGTGGAGAAGTAGTTCAGTTGAAGGACTGTTAGTGCACCGTTAATGTTTCAGAAAAGCTAATCGCCTCCTCAGAGAGCGTCATGTTGTTTTCAGCAAATGCTGTCAGTGGCAGTTCAGCAACACTGTATTCAAACAGTCAGTAAGCTGAAAACTGTTTCAGTTTTTTGTTGTCTATTATTACAGTGAATAAAGGCTGGCAGAAATATATGTAAAATATATAAAATTGTCCTGTTGAGTTTTCAGTGTGCCCTCTAGCTTCCCCTTGCAGCCTAGTATAGTGGTTAGAAAGCATACCTTTTTTTAATATGGCCACTGACCTGATCTTTTTTTCTCCCTCTATTTTTTCCTGCCTTTCTGTGCTTTCCTGCTCTAAAGTAAAGTGGTGAAAGATCAGAAATATGATTTACTTGGTGAACTGAGTTCACCTTCTTGTTTGTATCCTCTCTTTAACCTCCACGGCTGTTCCTTCTCCCCCCATGAGCCTGGATCACCGCCAGTGGCTTTTCCATCCACGCATTGTTTTTCCTGCTTTTATCATTTCCGCATTGTTCCAGTGAGCGCGTCCCGTCCAGTCCTGTTCGCGGAAGCTCCTTCCCAATACAATGACTTGTTTTCAGCCACACTCTCCTGGAAGCAGGACAGCACGGAGAGTGTGATTTCCTTTTCTTTCCGTGTCCCGTATTGTCCATCCAGCCCAGTGCTACACCGAACATTGGCTCACTGTCCGTTTTCCTCCCACAATAATCATCATGTAATATTTCATTTAATTCTCCTGACTGCTTGATATACAATATCTACTTACAGATAGTTTGTGTTAATCCACCAGCTATATCAGCCAAGGTTTATAGAGATCATCATTTACATAGTCATCATTCACTCACCCTAATCAAATTTTTAATTTTATATAATTTACTAATCATTCTTTTCCTTGCAATTACAGTAAGAAATAACCAGAGCTTTCAAGCTTCAGAAGGTGCATATGCATCATATGATTTGTATGCTATATTGCTATATTGTATTACTCTTCCGGAGTGATACTATAGTGCTTTGTGTGAAATGTATTTGTTATTCAACAAAAAAAAGACTATTAACCACTGTGAACCGGGTCAGACTCAGTCCGATTCATGGATGAATCATTAAAAGGATGGTTCCCCCCAAAATTTATATTCTGTCAACATTTACTCACCTTCATTTCAGTGCAATCATATATGACTTACTTTCTTCGATGGAACACACAAGATGATATTTTGAAGAACATTGGTGCCCATTGACTTCCACTGTATGGACATAAAAACATTTAGTCATTTCTCAAAATATCTTTTTTTTATGTTCCATATTAAAAAAAAAACTACATCATAGAGATTTAGGGACTGTTCACACAGTTCAACACGAGACACACTTCTCCGGAATGGTTTTAAAAAATAAAGCGCAGCGCCGAATGCCTCCTCTGCCATGTTGCCGTCAAATAAAACAGTTGCCATGCCAACTTGCTACTGTAAACAAAAGCTTGCAATGCTTGCCCCGCCTCCAGGGTCTTCTGATTGGTCCACTGTTTTAGAACTGACATTAATGAGCAGTGCTGTGTGTAAAAGTTTAAATTGTTTTAACTTTACACACCGTCTTAAAAACACGCACTTATGAGCAAGACGCTGCAAAAAAAGCGAGCGCAGCGGTCGTACACATTCGTCTAGCGCATTTACATAAAAAAGACAATGGAAAAGTAGCACACTGGAATAAAAAAACAAATTCTGTATGAGCAGCCCCTTAGAATGACATGAAGGTGAGCAATTAGTAACTGAATTTTAATTTTACGTTTTTGTGAACAACTGATTCATTGAAAAGATCTGAACAAATTGCTCATGAAGAATCGGACATTGCAACTTCTCTCATACACATGCTAAGGAAAGGTAGGATATATATCAACATTTTCAGTAACTAATGAGTTAAATTTCAGTCTGTTGTTCACACAAAACTTTTTTAGAAGACTGTTTAGAATATACTGTAGTCCGAATATTGAATTCTACAATATATTTATGCTACTTTTTTTGTAATTTTAGAACATGAAAACCCCAGTCAATGTTATTTATCAGTAGCGTTTAAATAGTTGTGCAGTGTGACTCCTGATGTACTTGTCTACATGTGCTGCTCCCCTGTATGGTATGTTTAATGTGTGATATATGTGATTTAGTTGTTTATGTGTGATTTGTATATGCAGCATACACTAAGCCCAAGAAAAAAATTCTATAAGGAGACAATAAAGTATATTGTATCGTATCGTATCGTAGTCCTAGTTCGTGTTTATTATATCAAAGAGATGGCTAGGATATGCTTTAAAAATTTTGTGTTCCACTAAAGAAAGTCCTGCAGGCTTGAAATGACATAAGGGTGATTAAATGATGGGGTGAACTACTCCTTTAAGGCAGAGGGGTAAAACTGGATTCTTGTCCATTAGATTTGTACTGGCTATTAGAGGTTTGCTTTTATTTCATACTGATGTGTATGTTTGCACAGCCGTTCTGATCTTACATATGCTTTCATTATTCACGCTTGTTTTTTTCCCCCTACAAAGTACCCCATGCTTGTGCTGTACAGTTTAATGGGCTTAAGATAAAATCTAGTGTCTTTGTCTTGAATGACTTAAGCTGCAATTACTGATGGAGCTGGAGGGAGACTTTCCTCACATGATCTCATGGCAGTCCAGATGGTAACCCGCATTGGATTTATTCTCCAGTTGAAATATTTCAGGTTTTTTTTTTTTTTTGCCTCCCCCCATTTTATTTTGGTCAGAATGAGTTCCTGGAACTAGAATCCACATTTCCACCCTAATGATGGCAATCACTGCCAAGCAACTGCTTCTGTCCCAGTGACTGAACAATGACCTTTGACCTCCCCAGCCATCGTAACCAGTGCAATTACAGTAATCACCAGCATTCTGAGAGGTTTTAATTGCATACAGGTAAACATGCACACACACTTGCTCCTTATTATCCTCCCCTAATAAATAAGGGATGTGACCTTTGCGCAGTCTTTAATAAGTGTTGGTACAATCTGTTATGCATTTTATTCTAGTTATAGCATAACTGTGGCTTGTATGATATGTGAATTCTAGTCTTCCTTTTTCAGATTATTTGCATTAAATGTTTTCTTATTCAGTGGATGGATGGAGGAGAGAATTGATGAAATAATTAATGCATTGAATGGATGAATTCTAGAATTAATGGATAATAGATCAGATGTGTGAGTGAGTGTATAGGTGGGCTGATGGGATGAATGGATGATTGAGTGGATAGATTGATGAATAAAAGAGTGAGCAGATGCACTGATGGGTGAGTGAGTGAATGCACTGTTGTTAAAAAAGTTGGGGTCATTAAGTTTTTGTTTGTTTGTTTGTTTGTTTGTTGGTTGGTTTGTTTTTTATTTTCTTATTTTTGATTAATTAATTTGTTTATTTATTTTTATTTTTTAAATTATTTTGTTTTTTTTTATTTAGCATGCATTGAAATTGTCAAGTGACAGCAAATGTATGACATTTATAATATTGCAAATAATTTATATTTTAAAATCAATGGTGTTCTTTTAAACTTTCTGTTCATAAAAGACATTAAAAAATTCATTCAAAATGTAAAAAAAAAATCACATTGTGCATAAACATATTAAGCAGCACAACTGTTTTCAACATAGATAATAATAATAATAATAATAATAATAATAATAATGAATGTGAATTGATGGATGTGTGTTGCATGGAAAATTATAACTGTGACTGGGACATATGACAGTAAGGAGAGGATGGAGTGTAAAAGCTAGAATATGCAGTGTGTATGCTCTACTTTGACACTCCGTGTGTTAATAAGCTGGTCTGACTAAGTGTGTTTGTGTGTGCGCATCTGACACTCTCAGATTCAAATTAGTCCTTACATCTTTTGGGCTGTTTTGATTGGCTGTCATTTGGGTCTTGAGCCACTCAGTCACTTCAAGTCACTTAAAATGAGCACTATATCTGTCCACAAATGGATCTCATGAGGAGTTCCCAAATAATTCCTATAACAGATGGAGAAGGGAGCATTCATTCATATGTGTGTTAGTATCTCATATGGTGTGACTCCACCTCCTTTGCTTTGTTAAGCACCACCTTGTCATGACAACAGCATCTCTGAATGAGTGACGCGTCTCCCTGGGCTCACTGTCGTCCTCGACACTCTCTCTCGTTCTTCCCACTCTCTCCCTCTTCTTGTGGCACCTCTCCTCTGCAGGCTGGAAATAGTGTGTAAGCAGCGTATATAATTGGATGCGTGACACCTCCTCGTTTCCTGTCTCAGGTGACACTGTGACTTCCACATGCGCCATGATCTACGTTTTTTTTTTTTGTCTCTCCATCCCCATTCCAACCTTCTCTTTTGCTCCTC